TAAAACTTCTCTGTATGGCCTGAAAACAGATAATAATATAAACATCCCAAGCAGAAATTTCTACGATCCATCTTTTCTCCTTGGCGGCATGCACTGCTTCACATGCTCTCTTCTTCTTTTCCTGTTCCTGCAGTCTGTCATCTTCATCAGAGGCGCACAGAAAGCCGTTCTAATCTGCAAGACTGCAACCGCAATTTTCCCATCAGGTTTGACAACCGGTTCGGCTCTGTGGGCCGGGCCCAAACAATAGCAAGGTGATGGCGAAGCAAATTACGAATTGGGGGCCCAGCTCTACCACAAAACAGAGCCTGCCAATGACGAGCGTACGTACGCCTGTAGTGGTGCCTGAATTAATTTTCAAAATCTGCAATCAATTTACAGATACAAAAAATCGCTAAATTAAATAAACCGGGGAAAAAGCAGTAGCTGTAGGCTTGTATCCAGTTTTCCATACACGGAAAGGTACGTGAACTTGTTTGCCTCACAGTTCAGAAAGCAATGTGGGGAGCAACGCGAAAACGAGTCAAGGAACGCGACAAATTGCAGAGGTAAGCCTTAGAGAGCGTGCCAAACTTCAGATGTGCTGTCAGACATTTCCTATGCCCATGTCGTTAATTCGCAAACCGACAGATGTGAAAAAGGATTCCAAGTTGGCGCGATCCTCCTCGAGCACCTGCTGATCGTTACTCGTTAGTAATGGTTCCAAGTGACTTTGGAGTAGAGGGCATGCCGATTCACACAAGTGTTCAGGCACTCCGTTTCAAGTTGATGTAAGCAATCTAGGACTTGTAGCTTTGATGTAAGCAATCTAGGACTTACACGAACGGCTTGGGATGCAATCCTCGCCGGTTATCTTGAACCAAGAAACAACATTTGTAATTTTGCTTAAACTATTTTTAGTTCAGCCATTAATGATATTGTCGATTGTATGGGTCTCCAGAACCCTCACCGAGGTCATAAGCGGCTCTCCATGAGGAGCAGGCCAGGTCGATTGGCCAGGAGTGAATTCGATCCGAAGTACCTCACTCACTTGACGGACATGGCATCGTCAAGGTATACATGGAAATCAACTCGATCTGCTGTAGTTAATTAAGAAACCAACTTGTAAATCGATTTAGGACTATAACCTTATCCCCTCGAACTATACAAGGAGGGATAGGGCGCCCATGTTTAACATCGAGAGAAATACACAATAGAAAAAAGTTGCAATCCTCACCTCGCAACTGACCCAAGCATACAACGTACAAGCAATAAAAACATTAACACACATTGTACGTAGGGCACCCTTTGTCAGAACAAGTATAAACACGTGTCTATGTGCTACCCCTTTGATTGACTGCTAGTTAGTGCGCCATGTAGGGGGCATCACACGCACATTCATGTGGATGGATCAGCTAGGTTTCTTCGACAACGACGACGTCGATGACTTTGCTCAAGCAACGTCTCTCGTGATCACGCGACGTCCCTCGATGTTACGTGATGACACTCGACATCGCGTGATGTCTATCGTTGACCTGCAATGTGATTCGGTATCCCGCGACGACACACAAGCATAGTAGTCCGCAGTGGCCTGTGACGACACTCATCGTCCCCGTGGCGTCTCTCACTAACCCGCTATGTGACTTGGCATCCTATCGCACTCCGCTGCGGCACTCAACATCCTATGGTGTGCCTCACCATCCCAATGGCATCCCTTGTTCTCCATCAGTGTGACTTGGCATCTCTTGCTATCCCATGATGGCACGTAATGGCTCGTTGGGGCCTGCTACGACCCGTTGCAACACTTGCTCTCCCACGCATGACTCATCATCCCTCATTCTCCGTGGTGTGACTTGGTGTCCCCATGACGCCCCTCGCTCTCCCGCAACATTAACTCATCATCCCATGACGTCCTTAATTGTCCCGTGGCAGCATGCTTGTAAGGATCAGATACCATATGCATGATTATATTTAGTTTTGTCGATTTAGATGACAACACAAGTCTAGAACTAATATTTGTGTTAAGATGTATTTAAAGGTTTTCTAAGGTTCTATGGATATAAGAAATCAAAATGAAATAAAAAATTTGAAGCAAGGATAAATAGAGGGTTGAGTTGGACTTGTCTTACGACTTAAAGTTGGTCAAATTAGAATGATACGAGGATCAAGTTGCAGAGATAACACCTAGAGTGGTGAAAGCTCAACCATATGAAAGAACTCAAGGGCTACTATCGAGTACGTGGGCTCTGGATACCTTCAGCGAGGTCATAAATGACTCTCAGGAGGGTGTAGAGCAGGTCAATTGGCCAAGAGCAAATCTGGCTCAGGTTACCTCATTGACTTAGCGGATAAGGCATAACCAAGATATATATATATATATATATACATTAAAAATGATTGAATCTGTTGTAACAGGCTATAACCAACTTGTAAACCAATCAAGATAAGACTATATCTTTACCCTTATTTCACAGTTTACAAGAAGAGCTACGGAGCCCATCCATAGCAATACGCCAATACCTATAATAGACAATAGTTGCAACCCTTCTACTCACATTAACCCGAATATAAAACATCATGACACATGACACCTCTTATTTGAACTAGTATAAAAATATGTGTCCCATTTACTGCTAAAACACTGATAGATAAACTACAAAACAACTGCAGCAGTATACTACGAGAGAGATACAGGAGAATTGACTTAATAAAGAATATTCATGCTCCATTGGCCATTGCTTTAATTATTAGTGCATACTAGGACACGTGACATTGCTTTGCTGTTACATTAAAGGATTAACGTGAATTCAGAAGCAAGCATGAATAAGTACCAAATGGCATTCGCATATGCGTGTGAAATTTTCTAAAGCTGACGCATTGCTAGATTTGTTAACTCACGAAGAAATACCTGGAAACTTGAATTTGGTCTAAAAATCTGCACGTGGGACCATTGCTTGAACAAAGCATCAGGTCAGCTGGGAGGACTGGGGCCAAATAGGACGTCCACATCAGTGCTACGAAATCGACAGCTAATGTGGTGGTTTGAGCGAAGAAGGGGTGTTTGATCTAACGATTAATTTTTTAGTTCCTGTCACATTGATATTTAATATTAATTAGGAGTATTAAATTAAATATAGATTAATTATAAAACTAATTATATAAATAAAGGTTAATTCGCGAGTCGAATTTATTAAGCCTAGTTAGTTTATGATTAGAGAATGTGATGTTACCGTAAACATATGCTAATTATAGATTAATTAGGCTTAATAAATTTATCTCGCGATTTAGTCACGACTTATACAATTAGTTTTATAATTAGCTCATATTTATTCCTCCTAATTAATATTAAACATCCATGTGATCTGAACTAAATTTCAGCCCGTGGATCAAACACCTCCTAAAGAAAGAAAGAAAATAAACGAGGCATCATAAAGGAGCAGCAGCATGTCAGAGACTAATGGCTTCTTGTTGGGCGTGCGAGCTAGCTAGCTACTTGTGTACTCGCTAGCGAGTTATTTATCTGGTCTCTCGTCCAGGTGAAATAAAATATAATAAATGGGCACCAGAGTTGAAAAGGTCCGAGAATGTCAAGGTTTTTTTTTTTGAACACTGAGAAGAGGTGACATGGCTTGAGTACAAATCTATTCATAGTGTGTAGCAAATTCTTCCTCACTTCGCTGGTAGCTTTTGAGAGGACTTCGATTTCGTCGTAATTATCACGTACTAACTATCTTGGAAACATCAGAATAAAATGGCAATCAAGTCATGCATAATACAAAGTTGCATTATTTCGAAGATAAGCTCGATCAACAACACATTTATGGGACAAATATTGCACCAAAACGACACAAGTTAGGGAAGATCAATATCACGATGTGGTAATCAAATGCTTCTAGGTTGAACAAAAACATTTCTTTACGTAAACACGCGATGGTGGGTTGTGCTATACCTATATCTGTATCACTAAGGAATCCATACATATACGAGCATGTGTACTCGAAAGGTGAAGTCAAGTACTACTACAAGGTTACTACTTGAAAAGGTGAAGTCAAGTTGTTGGGAATTTAACTTCGTCACAAAAATGCAGCCCTAAACTTTGGAGTCAAATCTTTAAATTTCCACAACAATATTTGTTTACAGGAAGAGGAAAGCGAAGACAACATTTCGATTTCGTAAGAAAATGATCGACTTGGCTGAAATAGAAGCAAAGATCAAGATCAGAGCGAAGACAAAAGTTTGGCTTTGTTATCAGAAAATCAACTTCGCCGACCAATGACGTCAAAGAGAAGTAAAACAAGGCTAGACGAAGGCAAGAATTCGATTTCGCTTAACATTCTGAAGGTCAAAGGAAAAATCGACTTAGTGCAAAACAAAGATGTTAAAAAGACCGGTGAGTGAAAATTAAAGAATGAAGGTTTGGAAGGAGAAAATAACCACTTCGCCCTCGTAGTTGAAAATGGTTGTAAACATTTAAGTTGGGGATAAAATAGTCATTTTATGTAAAATACGAAGACCGAAACCCTATAAATACCTCTGCTGACATGTACAGTATGATCATGAAATGAATACAACTTTGTCTTATGTTCAAACGTTGATGCTCGTGCAATTTCTTACTCAACCCAAGTTAAACAATTCAAACGGGCTGAATCATATCTGCATCAGCGTGACTGCACCACCGTTACTCATGTTTATCCAGCCCTGCAGGTTAGAGTTTTTTTATTTTTTCATTTTTTGCGAACGGCCCGCAGGTTAGAGTTGACCACCGGAATTTCCCCTCACACGGGAAGCAAACTCCTACACAAACCTCAGAAAAAAACGGGAGCGTTCGAAGAAATCTCCAAAAAAGAAAATAAAAACGGGCAACGAACCAAACGCCGAAGCGACCCATCCCGTCCCCGTCTCCTCCACTCCACCCCTCACCTCCATCTCCACCAGAAACAAACAAGTGAAACACCGCAAACCCTTGCTCCGATTCCCTCGGCCTCCTCGACGGAAGCAGCAGAGCAGGGGCGGCGGAGGCCATGTGGCCCGGCTGCGGCGGGCGTTTCTACTGGGCGCCGGAATCGGCGCCGCCGGCGGGGCAGGCGAGGGGCGTCGCGGTTCTGTTCGCGTGGGTGTGGAGCGACGAGGCGCAGCTGCGGCCGTTCGTCGAGCTGTACTCCTCGCTCGGGTGGCGCTGCCTCGTCTGCCACCCCGACCTCGTCGCGCTGTGAGTGCCGCCGCGCTGTTACTCGTTTGGATTTGACTTGGGGAGGCGCCCGATTGTAGCTCTACTATAGCTTCTATCCTGGCCTGCCCGTGCGGCTATAACTATGCTTCAGGTTTAATTTCAGAGGTTGCTTCCTAGTATGTGGCTCCTGAGATCGTGACGCAGGAAGATTTAGGTTTGGCTACTTATGATATTTTGCGGCGACCAGATTGGTGGGGCATGGTACTTAGCTGAGCTGTGTTGAGTTTGGCAACTCCCTTTAGATTCATCAGTCATCACTGGGTGTTAATACCCCTAGTCTTAGGGTTGGTGTATTTGTGCAATTTTTACTGTATACTTTGCATTGATGCCATTTTAGCGAGCTTTCTTGTTTGGCTATTAGGCATGGACGGTTTAGTTAAGTTACTGATTGCGGGATGGCAAAGATGTTTTGATCGTGGTAATTAGGAGTAAATTACTGCACTTCAAGGTTAGCATAATTTTCAAAGACTACTTTACAAAGTAAAACTAATTGCATCCATAGAGAATGTCCTGTAACGTTATCATTCCTGTCGATCTTCTGCCATAAGTTCCTAGCATTGATCCAACATGTTCCTTATCCTTTTTTCACTTCTTTTGGGTTTATGTGTTGACACAGTAATAGAGGCTAAAACCATATATGTATGGGTTCAATATGTAGCTGGGTCTATCCAAACATTTTTGTTGCTTGAATAATGTGCAGCTGGATGCTGGAAGCTTTATAATTATTTTTGTAGCCAATTTGAACACAGTAGAACAATTCTGATTGAATAACACTAGCGTGCTGATTGTCATCACATTAGTGCTGAAGTTAGAAGGGTGTTATCGACAACACTTAATTCACAGGTGGAGTGGGAAACTTTTTCCATGGACCTTTAGGCTTTAAGCAATAATACATTGAATAGGGCTTTTTTCATATTTAGAAATGGCACTTGTTGAACCTTACTTCAAATATGATACAGGCGTGCTAAAGTGTAGTGTTTCAGTAGGGTTGCGTGCATGATTGGGCCCTTTTATAAATCTGATCATGGTACTGTACTAATTCCTATCTTCTTCCAGATATCTCTCTGAGAAAGCAACATCACTGGCAACTGGTGTTATTAGTGAGCTGGTCAAGGTAAGTATTTTTTTCTCCCTTATTATTGTGCTTACAGATATCAAACAGTACATTAAGTGGACAGAAATTCTGTTAAAGGGTGGAGAAATAAAAATTGCATGCTTCTTGTTTTTTTAGCAAGTAACAGTACTTTATTAGGTCTTTTCCCTGTATTCACACTATTGTGTAATGCACTAGGCATTGTCTCTTTTAACTCTTTGTTATCATTTGTACTCAACCTGTGGCTTACACGGAAAATTTATAGGTTATGAGATCCTTAGAATGCAAGCACATTATAATTTATATAATTATTTTATCTTATTACGTTAACATTACATTGCTTTTGTATTATCTTTTAATTCTGCCACCTCTGGCTCTATGTGACCTTACTACTGATTGAGAACTGAACTACTTGCATGTTTGTCTATGATACCTCTGAATTCTGATCTACTGGAGGACTGTTTAAGCTGTTGGGAAATAGGAATCCTGAATCTAGAAAATCATTGATCTGCTTACTTTTTTTGTACTATACATAATTCCCACCCAGGAATAACATGGAATGCTGGTTTCAGGAACTGAGAGTAAAACCTGTGCCAACTGTTCTTGCTTCCTTTTCTGGTGGCTCAAAGGGATGCATGTACAAGGTTATTCAGGTGCGTTATCACTAAATTTCTTTTATGATTTAATCTTAACTGCCATTTGTAAATAGAATCATCTGTCTTTTTTCTAATGAAAAAGAAATCACTTGTCCCAGTTGAAATGACTGAATTTCTTGGATTTTCCAGTTACTAGATGGAATATGTGAAGGAGATGCAACCATGGTATGTGATGCCTTTCTTATTCATTGATTTCAACATACATTTCTGTCAATACAAGTAGGGAAGGACATTGGAACCTATGAAGAAATCTTAATTGAACTGTTTTCGGGACACGTTGAGACTTATAGCTAACAAAGTAACAGTGTATCAATGGTCATATGGATTAGGTACTGCTAAGCTATAGTTTCTTCCAGTTGTTTAGTGTGACGAACTATGCTTTGCTTTAGTATGTTGAATGTTTTCTTTGTCCTTCATCAGTGATAACCCTGTCCTTAAATGTTAACTTTCTACTTTCTGGGTTGTACCTTCAACTAGTATGTAGTTTTGTGTTCATGATTTGTATCAGCTGCAATGATGGATTTTGTGAAGTCCATCTTCATCATTATATTTGTCAGTCATCATCTTGAATTTATCTTGAGATAAAATATTTACTGTGTATGTTTGATTAGTTTGTTCAGCTACCATAGATCTGTTTATTATTAATATATGTGGTTCACCATTGGGTGTAGATTAGCTATTTGGGCCACTGCTCTTAATTTCTTGGCTAAGATGTTGAGTTTCTTGACATAAAAATTTTCAAGTGCAGAAGGACTATCGGTTAGTGAGAAACTGTATCTGCGGGCAAATTTATGACTCTAGCCCTGTAGATTTTGTCAGTGATGTGGGCACCCAGGCTTTTGGAAATTCATCTCAGTCAACTATATTACGTTCATGGATGGCAAAGGCTCTAGCTTCTGGCATGGATACTCTCTTCCCAAGCAGGATTGAAGCTCAGCGTGCAGAGTACTGGCACACACTATACTCAGCAGCAGTAAGTTCTGTTTTATCTGTGATATTTATCATATACCATCTTTGATACTTATGATATTTTTCATTTATTGTTCTTGCAGGGATTGGGTCCTGTTCTTATATTTTGCTCAGAAGATGATAATCTTGCTCCATGCCACATTATCTGTGGTTTTGCAAGGCGTTTGATTGAACTAGGCACGGAGGTTAAACTTATGAAATGGAGTGACTCCCAACATGTCGGTATGGTTCTTATCTTGTCTTCACTGCTATTGATAAATAACTCATTTGTAACTTGAATATGAATGAAACCAATGCAGCTTCTTTCCAAGACGTGGCATTAATCTCACGTATTGATTTATTGAATTCTCAGTACAATTGCACAACTATTCGAGACAAAAAACAAGTCCAATATGTACCACATCCATGAGCAATTAACACTTGAATGTAATGATTTATTCGTACTCCAATTTTTTATAAGGCTGACTTGAACCACATGTTCCGATACCTGGATTGGGGCTGTTGCCAATTCCTCTGTTGCCAATTTCTCAGGGACACAGAATATTTGGTATGGGAGTTTATTCATAAATGTTGAGGAAATGACAAGCGGAAGGAAATTTCCATGCCCGCCTTATAGCTTTAGGCATTAGGATGGTCACACTAGAATAGTACGAGACAGCATTATAATACACACGGTCTAGCTGCTGCAGATATGTGGGTCAACTTGAAACCTCAAATTTTTCTTCTCTGCTGCCAGACATTATGTCACATTTTACAGATAATCAAATCACTTTTCTGATTACTTGCAGACCATTACAATTCACATGAAACTGAATACAGAAGAGCTGTAGATGCTATGTTGAAGAAGGCTCTTGTTACCTTCTGCCACCGAAGCCAACTATATGACTCAAATATGGCTGGTGACCAGGAGTACAAGATAGCGCACTCGGTGTGCAGTCTACACAATGCTGCAGCCAATTCAAATGAGAGCTTAAGAAGGGTAGCTAACAGTCCTAGTGATCACTTCTTCTTGCCAAGTTCGAAGGATCATGATGAATCTCGGGAACCTGGTTCTCTGATTGAGGATCAGAGGCGCAACATGTCCCATCCACCCTGCATGGAGCCTAAAGGAGTCCTTGGCCAAATCCTGTTTGATGTTTGTGTTCCGAAAAATGTTGAAGGATGGGACATCAAGCCGACAGTGTCCCCAAATGGACGGCCAACATTTGCTTCTGCCCGGCAACTTGGTCCATTCAATCCCATCAGGTACTTCCGACGTTCAAGACTATAGTTTTCTGCAGGAGTTGAGATTTTTGTATATATAATGGAGGCAAGGTATCTAATGGCAACTCTGAGCAAGATTTTACCTATGTAAGTTCCCTGTAATTGTTTCTGTTTTGCTTTTGCACCGCTTGGCGAGAGAATGTACATATGCTTTGTATCATGAGTGTGTACTAGAAGGGGGATCGTGGACATAGTTTCTAGGCGGCGGTTGTAAGGTGCACGCTAACATTGAATAACCAAGGGAATGCATTATTATGCTCCTGTAGTTACCGTTATATTTCATGTTTGTTAAATCTAATTATCGGAAAAACTTCTCTTCTTTTTACTGATCATAATTACTGTTTGTATTTTTATGTTGATCTTTCTTTTTTCGCTTTGTGTCTTTTGTTTCTGAGTATCGTTTTGTGTTTAGTGCTGTCACTGACTGTATTTCTGTTTCGCCTCAGTTCTAACTTACTGAAACAAATACAAAGATGGCAAAGAAGACGTCTATATATTTGTCTTCGCCTTTTTAACTGTACAAATCATGAGTGTTTGAATAGCTTGTGAAGCTCATTCGTGTTCTCTTTTCCAGAATTATAGGATTTGCTGTGGGACTAAATGCTTACTCGATATAGATGGGCCATTGATCACATTTCCTGCCTTGAACTCTGAACCCAAATTATTCTTAAGTAGATGCTAGGGTTCTTGGTTTTTCTTTTCCTTCCAAAAAGAATAGCCGCAATGGAGTATTCCTTCACATTCACATTCACATTCACTGTGTTCCCATGGAATGAAATTTGAGGATTGAGGGAGCAGTTTTGTTGCATTGCTATGAAATAATGATAGAGCAAAATTTTAAGAATCCAAATTAGCATATGCAAGTGTCATGTTTAGGTCTAGTGGGGGAACCACAAGAAAAGTTATAGAAATGATTTGCAAAGTCACAGATCGCAGACACAGCAACCAATTCATCTCTGTAGTCTGCGATCTGTAACTCTGTAGTCCTAAGACCTCGCCTTTTTCCTTCATCTTTTTGATAAGACTGTTCTGTATTATTGGTGTTATGAAGCCATAAGATGCATGATATCGAGAATCATATCTACTTTAGAAAGTGAGAATTCTCCAGGAGCATTCATCCTGAACAGGCCCTGCGGGAACGGGCAAGCTGGATCTCAACTTTTAGACTTCGTGACTACGAGCTTCTTGTTGGATTTTCTTTCGAAGAAAAACGAAAAAAAAAAGAAAGTAACTTTTTAAATTTCCTCCATGTTCCAAGATAGATCGAATACGAACCTGTTGTGTTCTGGCCAACGTTGGCAGCACATGGACATGATGCTCTTTCTGAACTCTCAGGCGTTTTCAGACGACGTTTCTGTACTCTAGTCACAAGGAAACTCATGACGCGTTCATATTTCTGCGGTAACAGATGGAAACAGCAACGTACTTCTACTGTGGTACATTTTACTGCATGTGTTTAACGTTGTGTTGTGCCACTACCCAGCTAGAGAACCTGTTGACGAGCTCTACTACCCAGCTAGAGAACCTGTTGATGAGCTCTACGAGATAAACATCTCACCACTTGCGGATCAGATTGCTCTGAGTGCCTGTGAAAGCCTACCAAAAGAATCTGATTCTCATTAATCAACGATTTTGCCGCGTCTTTGGAACAAAGAATCTTGGAGTTTCAAGGCTTTCGTATGATCAATCACGGAACTTTTCTTAAATAACTCAGCCTTTTGCCTCCAAGCATTGTAAAATTTTGTGCTACCAGTGAATATTTTGTAGAAGGACGTAAAGGAAAAGCAGACAGACATCGACCGGAGAACAAAGTCTTGATCATGATAAGCATGCTTCATTGTTATATTGCTCAGGGGAATTCTGATTGCCAAACAGGCATCGCGAAGATTGCACTATTGGAAGAAAAAAAAGATCTCAATCAGCTGACCCATCCGTGAGTGACCTACAGCTTTTAAAATATATTACATCCAAAAGGATATATAAAATAATATCATCTTCTCATGGTAAGTGTTAATATTCATGTATAACCCATGTTCGCTATCAGTCGTAGAAACCATCAGCCGAATACCTACGCTATACAAGACTAAAAAAGTAAGTAACTTTGTTTTACTATTATGTTGATCCTGTCCGAATACCTATGCTATAAGAGGCTAAAAAAGTAAGTAATTTCTTATTAAAGTGGATCACATTCTTACTCGCTGGATATATAGGTGCCGTTTGGTCGGTTTCTTAGTTCGACACGTCCTTGTTCATATATATATTGGGCTAAAGACCAACAAGTGGTTTCGGTTGCTGAGAGAATTCAGCTCCCAGCATAACTGACAACTGAGGTCCGAGTTTTCCCGAGAGCCGAGCACATCATCAGCTCATGGCTACGAGCTGGGAAAAAAATCGGTGCGGATCATCCCTACGAGAACGTGGTGCGGACTGTGCAGCTGATAGGCCACACGTCAGCCATATGTCATGGTGTTTCCATTTGATGGTCCTCACTCAATTTCCCCCCCTCGGGCTACCTATGATTTCGCCCAACCACAAAATTGTAAGTATAACTCGCCAAAAGATACTCCTGCTTTGCGAAGCTAGATATATGAACCAAACATCCTCAAAGCAGTGTACTTGCCACAATTTTTATCAAGTACTCTAGTGGACGTGGATTCTCGAAATTTGATCATTCGACCTCTTTGCTCCTTCCATTTCTAGTCTAGATTATATATATATATATATATATATACTATGTGCTAATATGTAATAATACCGCATATATCCTAATCCAAAGACTGCCTAATGCGGCTTTTAAGCTGCACCACCGATTATTCCCCTTTGAAAAGAAAAGCTCAGTGGCTGGCAATTTTAGCAGCATCTGCACCACCGATTATTCCCTTTGAAAAGAAAAAAGCTCAGTGGAAATTTACGATCAACAAACGAACATGCTGGCACATTATTTCCATTTCATCTACGTAACAATCTAACCCTTTCTTTTTCTGAAAAAAAAACAATCCACCCCATGTTCAACACGGCCAGCCAAAACTCTGATCTGCGCGTGCAAAACGTACAGTAACCGAGTCGTAAAAACCTCAGCGCCGTGGCCCTCCTCTTGGACCGGTATATATATAGGATGGACCTGTGTGCGTCGCTACTTGCAATTGCAACTCGATCAGCAGTAGACTCAGAGCTCACTCGCAAGCTAGCACACTCACCATCAAGCGGAAGAGCAAGCACGCAGAGGCAAGCTAAGGAGCGGTCGCCGGCCGCGCATCGGCGTTGAGAGGATGGCGTTCATGCGGTACCGCGCGCTGCCGCAGGGGGAGCTGACGGTGGAGGAGTTCCGGGCGTGGCTGGCGCAGTTCGACGCGGACCGCGACGGGCGGATCAGCAGGGAGGAGCTGCAGCACGCGCTGCGGAGCATCAACGTGTGGTTCGCGTGGTGGAAGGCGCGGGACGGCGTGCGCGCCGCCGACGCCAACCGCGACGGCGGCGTGCAGGGGGAGGACGAGGTGGCCCGGCTCTTCGCCTTCGCGCAGAGGCACCTCCACGTCAAGATCACCCAGCTCGGCTACTACTGATCTGATGAGTGATGACCCATCGGCCAATAAGCATCGTACCATCGATCGATGTGAGTCTCTGTATTTGTCAGGATGGATTGGACATGTGTTGTTGTTTTTTTTCATCCTGATGGATGTGTGTTGTTACTTAAACGTTGTACGGGTGCTTCATTTGGCTTTTTATTACATGTCTTGTGGTAACTTTGTGGATGGTTTGAAAAGAGTCTGCGTACTCGTATTTCCAGTCCAGCGCCAAGAACTTAATTTGTCGAGGAATGGTTTATGGTTAAGAAATGTATGTGCCATGCCATGGCCTTCGTGCAGTGTTCGTACGTTTCTCTTGAGAGTTCGAGCTATATATGAGGATTGATTTTCCTGTAAGAAGAATCAACGATTCAGCGTGATAGATCCGATAACAATACGCAGTGAAAGTGGTGAAATATTAACACTAGCACCAGTGCAAGTTCAAAGAAAGATCAGATATTGCATAACAAATATACGCACGGTTTGTGTTGGCATAGATACAATCAGTGGCAGCATGGAGAAAGGCACCGAGGGAGAGGGAACCAGATTAAGATAAAGAGATAATTTCGCGTGTGTGCCATCGAATGATTCTTCACACACATAATTCTCTCTAAGATAAACATAAATATTCTAGTGTTTTTTTTAACTATGTGACTAATAGTTTAATAAGGTAATAGAAAAAGAAGGGGCCACGGTCAGCTTGGGTCTCAAAGAAGCTTCACACCTGTGTGCAGTCCATATCAGAGAGGTACGCCATGCATCCGTCCCGTCCCAAAATAATAAGCATGTTTGGATAAATAGTAATCAAAATTTTATCAATTTTGATCAATAATTATTCAAATTATATATAACACCAAGACATAAAAGGTGCTTCAAAAGATTTATGTTCACCCAGTTGGTGTGGTTTCTTTAGCAAATGGTAACATGTTATAGTAAAAAAATATTTTATACGACTTTTCTTGATCAAACTATGCTTATTATTTCATGACAGAAGGAGTATAATATGTACCAACAATTTCACACTCAAGTTTGGGAGATTATTTCGGTCCTTCAGTTTTTAGTTAGCCATAGAATAAGAAAGTGAGGGAGATGGATGATTTGGGGTGGGAGGTGGCAGATGACGAAGGCATAGACGATGTCCTATGCTCAGTGTTGTTAAAGAGTGCCGGGAGATAGAGTAGGAGACAAGAGCTCATGTGTTGCTCGTCGGGTGGTATCACAACCAAGGTTTTCGTTATCGGAAATAAAAATTTATCGGAGGTCATGGATAAAGAGGATATACAGGATATATCAGAAATATCGGACCAAATTCAAAAAAAATTTAAATTGTTTTGAAAAAATTTCGTAGAATTTGACTTTAAACTATTCCTAAGCTATTAAACATCACTTGTTCACAGATAAAAACAAGAATAAAACATTATAGTGTGGGACCGTCGCACGGCTGAATTTGGGTTGTCTGTGTGGGAGCAGGAAAGAAGGGAAAAATTTGGCCGATGTCAAATTTTATCGGACCCTGTGGATACAAGGGAAATTTCGAAAATTTCCGTGAATTTCGGCCGATAAAAAAAACCTTGATCACAACCTAGAAAGAGTAGGGAGAGGGAGGCAACAAATGAACATGCATGCAAGCATGGTCACTTAAGCCTATGTAATGAGATACGGTGTCAAAATGCCCCAACAAAAACATATGGGGGGTTCATTTAAACATGATTAGATATTTTAAGGGTTACAATATCGGGTTCCATAGTTGATGAATTATTTTGTCAACCCTTGATATAGTAGGTAGGGGTTATATAAAAAAAACCAGATTTTTCTGATTTTAAGTAGACTTTTCTGAAAAAGAAAAAAACCACAAATATCTGATTTTCTAGTGTTTGCTGATTTTATAGAAGGTCGGGATGAAGAAGAACCGGTTGATGGTGGACCGAACCAGAAACCTCCCAACCCATCTAACCGGGCCGTAACCCGCAAGGCCGCAACTCCCGCACCAGAGGGGCTGGGCTCAAGCTGAACCGAACCGGCCCCGCGCCCGGCGCTTCTCGTCGACGCCGCCGACCAACAAGACGCCTCGAACGCCACGCCACCACCGAAGCGCCTCTCACCGCTGCAACCGCAACCCACGCGATGGCGCCGCCCGACTCCATCTCCACGCGCCCCTCCCTCCCCCTCGCCGCTGCGCCCATGTCCGACCCGGCCCCCTTCCCCTCCGCTGCGTCGCCGCCTCCAAACCCGCTCGCAGCCGCCGCCTCCTTCCTCCAGCACCATCTCTCCCGCTTGGCTTCCCACCTGAACGCCCCGCGCCCCGCCCTCGCCGCCGCGGCCGCGCGCACGCCGGCCCCCAGGGCGCCTCCTTATCTCTCGCGCTCGCGCCCGATGAGGTCGCGCGCGCTCTCACCGGCACTCCCGTCTTCACTGTCTGCAATTCCAGCAACGAGTTCGTGCTCGTCTCCGACCCTGCCACCGGCCTCCGCTCCCTCGGCCTCCTCTGCTTCCGTTCGGAGGACGCCGACGCCCTCCTGTCGCATGTATTCCCTGCTCTCTAGCCACCTGTTTTCTTTGGGCTTTGGTTTTGGATTATTCACTGGTTGTTCGGGGGTTTGTGTGGTTTAGGTGAGGACGCGGCAACCGGTGTTAGGGAAGGGGGCAAAAGTGGTGTCTATTACACTTGATCAGGTTGGTTTCATTCTGTATGTCTTGTGGTTGATCTTGTCAAGACTTGATGGGCCAATTTTTCATTGAATAGTGGGTTTTGTAAGTTTTTTTTTGTGTTTTATTTGAAATATGAAAGCCATTCCAGTAATTGGAGGCATCTTAACTTATTAGCAACGTGAGAGGTAAGACTTCTAACTTTGAGTAGTTCTATCTGGCTTATCGACGAGGAATTGTGGACGCTCTCCTGATTTAGGTAGCCAATTCTTTATTAGCTTATCTTGTTCATGCTTTTAAGGTGCGTTAAGCTTGGTTGACGCCACTGCAGCTTTGGTCATTCTAGTGCATGCATAGACATTATGTTTACCTTGAACCTGACTGATACTCTATTATATGTTTCATAATGCAAACATATACCTCATAACTTTGCTCTTTTATGCAGGTCTATATGCTGAAGGCTGAAGGTATCGCATTTCGGTTCTTACCCAACCCTCTTCAAATAAAGAATGCACTGGAGGTCTGCTCTTTAATAGATTTTTCACTCATTGCTCTATTATCTTATATATACCTGGACCTATTTATAATCTACTCCCTCCCCTCTCCCTACGATCTGAGTAGAATTTAGATCCATCAGGCAGATTGCAATTGCTCTTGAAAGTAGCAATACAATGATTGTTGTTTCAATTATTATTACTTTACTTTCTTGTTATTTTATTACAACTATAGGGATGGAATATGTATGTCCATTTCTCCATATCTTGTAATTAAATGCCGTAATATTTGACTTTGACTTCCTTGGCCAACAGTGGTTGGACTGTGGCCAATCATGTAATTACTAGTTTACTAGCAATATTCCCATAGCACATGCAGAAACTCTACATAATTAGTATGACTTGGCAAAATGCATAACCATAGCTATTGGTTTAACATGTTCCAACATTTCAAAGAAAACATATGTTTGAAAAGATTTTGTTACTTTGAGCAATCCCAATAAATGGGTAAGAAGCCTGTACATTTGTGGCTTATTGTATGTCTTCAACATAATGCATGAATCCTAGACATATGGACATAGAACATGTGAAGTGTTAGTTTTTACCATAGTGCTAAGTGTCGAATCTTTCTGTTTTTTTTTTCCTGGATGGACTTGTTGACCTAATGACCTGCAATGGTTCTCCATAGCGCACATTTGTAAATCTAAGTTAAGTTTAGGTAACACATACTTTTGGCTTTAGAACAAGTTAAGTCTTGCACGCGTGTTTACGTGGATCATTACAGCCCCCTGATTATTCTTCAAGTACGAAGAAAAAAAGGTACTTCATCCTTGTGACATGTATTACCCTTTTTATTTTCCAGATGAAATCGGGCTTAACTGCTTTTGATGGTGTTCCTGTTTTCAGGTAATATCCTCCATATTGACCTATTCGATTTTAGTTTCTTGTGAGTCGTGTCAATTTGATGCCATGAGTAGCTCTTGTTATAAACTCAGTCAAATACTCGCATGTATTAATTCACTAGGATGCCCACAAGGAAACCCTTCATTTGTACCACAAATTAAGTGTAACCTTGGGTAGCTACCTCCATACCTTTGTAACCGGAAACACATCCTAGCAATTAGTAAACATTTTCTTGATTAAGCAAATAACAGTAATTCCTCTCTTGGGAAAATTAAAGACCACTAGCAAATTGTTGACATGCCTTGGCTCTAATAATTGCTAGTGCATTTAGCTATTGCTAAATCTAATGGATATTGGTAGAGAAGAAAAGGTGTGAAAGAAACTGAAGCTGTTTAGTTGTTTCTATGATTTACTTGCCCATCCCTATTTATTGAGAAAATTAATTGTACGCCCATTCTGTTCTTAGTCAACTAGTCATGCTGTGCTGTCTCCAATCAAATTCCTTTCTTTTTTTCCTTTTCGAGTTTATTATATTTATTCTCATCTGGAGCTTTTATGCAAAGGACAGCATAACCCTTTTTCTTCATTAAGATAAATTGTATGTGGTTTCTGGCATGAAAGAGTGACCACACAGCAAAAAAAACTACCTATAGAAAGTGAAAATGCATACAAAACACTATCAACCAAACAGCAATTGTTGCATTAGTGTAGATAAAATAACTGCCCGGATGTTTAGAGTTTCATACATTGTCGCTTCAGCTTCATCAGAATGGTGTCTATCTTTTTCCGGGAGATGCTCCACTCCACACTTTACTTTTGAGATTGTTGTGCAGTTCCTTTTAGTTTTATACTATTCTGATATTTGTGCCACTAGACTTCTGTTTTGGGGGTTCATGATCCTCACTGCTACTATGAACCATTAATTGCTGCAATGAAAATGTTCCAATTGCATGTGCAGTCAGATCTTCTGGTTGTGAAGAAGCAGAAGAAGCGCTACTGTCCAATATATTTTCAAAAGGTTCGCCAGGCTGCATTTTATATCATGTTGTGTTCCTTAGACCTTGATTAGGTTTTTAACACTTACCTCGTGGTTCAGGAAGACATAGAAAGAGAACTTACAAGGGCTTCCAAAGGTTCAAGAGGGTCAGCCTTGTCTAAGCAAATTATGGTATGTAGTTATGTTCAGTTATAGCTCGCGTAAATCTCTCATGACAGCTACTTTAGCTCTTCTGTGTTTTTCTTCCAGGTTGGGAGTTTGGAGGATGTCCTGAAGAAAATGGAGGTATTATGGAGATAAAATGGCACAATGGATTGCCTGTACAGTTGTGCTAGTTCAGCAGTTCTTACCATTCTGCTATTTGATTCTGCAGATAAATGAGAGAAATTCTGGCTGGGATGATTTAATCTTTATACCCCCTGGGAAGAGCCTCAACCAACATATCAATGAGGTATCAGCGTGATTTTGTTCCACGGTGATAGCCCAGAGTTTGAACAGGCCATTCACTTTAAATGCTATGATGGTCAGCCAAACAAAATATCAAATTACTGCCTGAGCTTTTTCTTTGGACAGCAATTTTCATGGTTAGCTTGGTGAGGGAAAATTAACTAAGTGATAGAATATGGCTGTGAAACAATTTTGTTGTTGCATCTATTCACAAAAACTAACACAGGTTACACAAGAAGATTTGATGAAGAGTAAGATGCAACATTGGTAAATCACCTAGCAATATAGTTTCATGAAAGTATTCTCAGGATTATACAATAGAAAAAGAGATGAATGTTTTCGGAGCAGTTGGAAAAATACCATGATTTTTGAAATGTTTTGGTTTTGGATTGCCAAGGTGTTTGGACGTCACAAACCTTGTAGTTTTGAAAACCATGCTTTTGCTAAAACTATAGTCTTTCTGTTTTTTTAGAAACTCCATTCCAGACCTTTTTCTTCTATGTAAGCCATAGTACGACATCCATAGGCCCTAAACTGTTACTACTCCATAGACCTTTTCTATGTAAGACGTAGACCTTTTTGGGATAGTTTTTAGCTGAGCGCTTAAGCTGTTGTGTTGACAATATCTGTTTTTGGTAGGCGTGATATATTTTTTAGAAAGGACGGCAGGCGTGATATTTTTTTTAAGAGTTAAATGCAACAACGGTCCTCGAACTAAGCGTGTGCCATATATGTCCATGAACTTTGAAAATGCATTTCTGGATCCCTAAACTTGTTAGGTGGTGCATCATAGGTTCATACCAGCCATGTGGACCTGTTTTTGCTGACATGACATGCTAACGTGGCACGAATTTTTCACTTAACCTCTTATATTTATTTTTCTCTTAAAAAATAAATCCTCCCTAGTCCCTGGGCCCGTGCGGCTGGGGCAGCTAGTGGGCGCGCGCCGTGGTGGCGCACGGCACCGAGTGCGTGGAGCAGCACCTCCATGGCATCCTCTCGTGCGTCACCATCGCGATCAAGGCCGCCGTCCGACGCCGACGAGATCGCGTGGAGATCGCCGGTTCCGACGCCGATGAGATCGCGTGGAGATCGCCGGTTCCGACTCCGATGAGATCGCGTGGAGATCGCCGGTTCCGACTCCGATGAGACCGCCTGGAAGAGGCTGTTAATGCTTGCCAACAAGTACAATAGGAGCATGCTCGAGCCCAGGCTCCTGTTCCCGCACGCCTACGACAAGCTATATTTAGTGTCCTAGGAACTCACTACGCGGACGGACACAGTGTGGAAAGAGGACAGGTGGTTGCTATCACAGCTGCTCGACGAGATGAAGTTGCCGGGCGGTGCCAAAGCCACTGACAAAGGACGAGCACGGCTCGCCGACGTCCTGACCCCGCCGCGGGGAAAGCTGCACCTGGTATCTATCCTGTTAACCGGTGACTACAGCATGCGGATTGCGGAGGTGCCTCGGCGGCCACGTGAAGGAGGAGCATTGGATGGAGGAGAGCTTCACAGTGAAGCATTTCATCGGGGACGCCGAGGACGAGGTCTTGATGCTCTCGTCAGTGGCGCACACTGCGTACTGCTTGATTTGCTTCCACGATGAGGAGAGCTACGTCGAGGAGATGAGCTCCCCGCGGCGAGCTCAACCCGTCCAACGTGCTCGTGAAGCTGCGGTACTCCGATGGGAACGTGCACGTCAAGGTCGCCGGGTTTGAGCGGCTGGGCATGCATCATCACAAACGGCGCAAAGTCATCTGCTAATGGCAACGCAGCCGGTGGGGACGACGGCAACTGCATCTGGTACGCGTGTTCTCAAGGAGATCCGCGACACGCACATGGAGGTGGACGTGTACAGCTTCGTGATGATCTGCTTCGAGCTGCTGACGGGGGCAAGGTCCCATTCGAGGACAACCACTTGAAGGGAGACAAGAAAGACGAGCAAGAACGTCCACGCTGGCGAGTGGCCGCTTTGTTCCTGTTCTCGACGCAGTACCTGGTCGCCATGACGAAGCGGTGCTGGCACGCCGACCCAGCGCAACACCCGTCGTTCGCCACTTCGCCTCCATTTGCTGCGTCCTTCGGTACCTGAAGCAGTTCCTCGCCAGCAGCAGGGCCAGGCCGACGCGCGGCCGGCCGCTGACTACCTCGACACATCAAGGTGCAGCTGCTGAGGGAGAAGACCGCCGCCGGCACGCACGCCAGTAAAGACAGGGCTACGGACTCCAGCAGCGAGGAGATCATGCTATGTGCCATCGAGAACAGGGTCGGGGCAAGCACACTGGACGACGACGCGTCCACCATGTCGAGCGGCGCCGTGAGGTTGCGCTCCGATAGCATCGTGAGGATTTAAAATATAAGGGGTTAAATAAAAAATACGTGCCATGCTAGCAATGCTATGTCAGCCAGAAATATTCACATGGCATGAACCTATGTGACATGCTAGCATGAACCTAGTAAGTTTAGGGACCCAAAAATACATTTTTCAAAGTTCATGGACCTATGTGACACACACTGTTTGAGGGCCGCTGGTGCATTTAACTCTTTTTAGGTGTGATATATTTGCATTCCCCAAAATCTGTATTTCACTGCTTTTGGCTGCCATTTGTCACGAGGAGTTGCACTTGGTACTTACACCATTTGGATCTGGATCCAAGAGTGAACTCAAACCATTTGCTGGGTTGGTTCCTCGTTCTGCATTGAGTGCAATTTATGTTTGTGGCACGGAAGGATAGACGTACGGGGACACGAACGGCACAGGTTTCATTACTTCTTGGTACTAGTACTCTACGTTGTTTTCACACGCTTTTAGATCTTAGAAGAGTCAGGAGACAACTGGAAGTCAACATACAGAATTTCTTGGGCCTCTACTGGTTTGTAAAGTATAGCACGTTCAAATTCGAGTAGTTTCCTTCATGGACTTCGTTTTAAGCTGAATACATTCCATGCTTCAATTCTAGAGTGAGCTGTGAGGCATTACCCGAGTGTCAGCTTTGATAAATTTCTAAGAAACAATCTATTTATCCTGTTATCCAGCTCCTGGTTTATGGGTACCAAGCTTGGTCATTTTTTTCTACCACGAATTGGAGTTCCTTGCTGGACTTGTTAATTAGGAGCTTCATGTTCTTACGGGGTAGTAAGGGCAGTCCCAATGAAAGAAACTAGTAGTTTCTATAACATAGGATACCGCACCAAAAAAGTACTGCTTTCCAACCTATGGTTTCTATGAGTAATAATTATTTTCTCTTTCTCTCTCCCAACTATATCTTCTTCCTTCAATGGGAGTACGACACGAGCTCCCTAGAAACTGGTGGTTTCTCCCCAATAGCGATTTCATGGTTTCTTGGTGCATTGGGTCAAGAGTAGACTTGATTTCTTCATGAGAAAACCATTTCTATGATTTTTGCTCTCTTTCTTCATTAATTACGTTGCCATGTCAGCGTTTTGCCTACGTGGCAAGTCATTTAATGAGGATAGAAACCATCATCAATACACCATTGGGACTGCCCTAATGGTTCAGGCCAGAGCAACTTCATCAAATGTCCTATCTCCTCTCCCTTATAATCAGGCCAGAGCAACTTTAAGGAGATGGAGTGCAGGCTGATGGTTTCTCCTCTCCCTTATAATCAGTTGTAGAAGATCTCGTAAAAGCAATTTAAGGAGATGGAGTGCAGAGCTATAACCGATTACTCAAAAACCATCCCTTATATCCATCATGACATTGTGGTGACCCATAGGCAAATTACTTTTCTTCTCCCTCCCCACCTAGTTCATCTCACTCTTGCATGGCCACACGTAGGGGTAGAGCACGAAAGGCGCACCTCCATGGCCATGTGCAAGGGTCAGCAGGCGGCACGGACAAGCGGGGCGGGCTTGGCAAGCCGCATGCCTTGGTTGTGGGATGGCCAACAACCGACGGGCAGCAGCCATTGAAACATGAGGGGAAGGGTCGAAGAAGCCTCGAAGGCCGAAGGGTGAGGAAGAGGTGGGGCCATAGATAGGGCAGTCGCACCCATGATACCATTTCTATATGCAAGGATCTCACAGCTAAGAAAGTAATTCCTTACCATGGTTGACCTCTCGATAACTGGCCGGTGTCCAAAACAAAAGAAACCTGCACTGGACTTCCGCGGGGGTAGCTAGCGTTGGCGTGCCATATGGATTCCGCCAAGGCGCCCAAAGGAGAGCGAGATCTGCCGGAGACAGAGCAACGCCGGCCAACCGGTCTGGGCACTGTCACTGCCGTCTTCTTGCTCTCGTTGCCGCTGCTGATCCTGTTCTTCCTCTTCGGCGACCGAGCTGTCTTCTCCATCGCCGGCGACTCCCTGGTTTGGCAGCGCGCGGGGGTGCAGAGTACTTGCTCCTTTCGATCTCTTGCCTACACGCATCTGATGCATGGTAATGGCCCGGCTCTCACTCTTCCATTCGTTTGCATCGCAGGCTCCGGCAATGCGTCCTCGTCCCCAGTGAACGCTCACCACGACCTGCTCCTCGGCGGGCTTCCTCGCCAGACTTCGACGCAGCGACGTGCCTCAGCCGGTACGAGGCGTCCAAGCGATGGAAGACGCCGCCGCCGTTCCCGGTCTCCCCTTACCTCGTCCAGAAGCTGAGGCAGTACGAGTCGAACCATCGGCGGTGCGGACCGGGCACCGCGAACTACCGCGAGGCCATGGCGCAGCTCACGTCCGGCCGCAACGGCGACCTCGCCGAATGCAGGTACGTGGTGTGGTTCCCCATCCAGGGCCTGGGCAACCGGATGCTCAGCGTCGTCTCGACCTTCCTCTACGCGCTGCTCACCGGCCGCGTCCTCCTCGTTCACGAACCCCCCGAGATGGAGGGGCTCTTCTGCGAGCCGTTCCCGGGGACCTCGTGGATCCTGCCGCCGGACTTCCCCTACAAGGACGGCTTCTGGGTCGGCTCAAATGACAGCTATCTGCGCATGCTTGAGAACAACGTCGTCCGCTACGACGGCGGTGGCGGCGGCGACGCCAGCGCGCTGCCGCCCTACGTCTACTTCCACCTGGAGCAGACACAGCTCCGGCTCCAGAATCACACGTTCTGCGAGGAGGACCACCGCGTGCTCGACAGGTTCAACTGGATGGTGCTCCGGTCAGACAGCTACTTCGCCGTGGCGTTGTTCCTCATGCCCATGTACCGGGCCGAGCTGGATCTGATGTTCCCGGCGAAGGCGTCCGTGTTCCACCACCTCGGCAGGTATCTCCTCCACCCGGGGAACCGAGCGTGGGGGATTGTGGAGAGGTTCTACGACGGGTACCTCGCCGGCGCCGACGAGCGTCTCGGCATACAGGTCCGCCTCGCGCCGTTCCTTCCGCTCACGTTTGAGATCATGTACGAGCAGATCATTCGATGCACGCGGGAGCACGACCTCCTGCCACAAGTGACCGACACCAGCGAGCCGGGTGCCCGGCCGTCCAAAGGCACGGCGGCCAAGGTGAAGGCCGTGCTGGTGGTTTCCCTGAAGCCGGAGTACTACGACAAGCTGCACAGCGTGTACTACACCAACGCGACGGCGACCGGCGAGGTGGTCACGGTGTACCAGCCGAGCCACGACCAGGACCAGCACTCGGAGGCGCGGGCGCACAACGAGCGCGCCCTGGCCGAGATCTTCCTGCTCAGCTACTCCGACAGGTTGGTGACCACGGGGTTCTCGACGTTCGGCTACGTCGCGCACTCGCTGGCTGGGCAGCGACCTTGGCTGCTGATGCTGCCGGACCGGACTACTAAGAGGGCCGCCGTGGCTTGCGTGAGGTCAACGTCGGTGGAGCCATGCCTGCACTCGCCGCCGTCGCTCGTCTGCCGGGCGGCACAGGATCTTGACCCGGTGGCGCATCTGCCCTTCATGCGACACTGCGAAGATGTGGACGCCGGCGGTGGCCTCAAGCTGTTCGATTGATTTTGTTCCTGCATAGATGCTTGCTTCTGCGCAATGGTACTATCTATCTGTACATTAGTGGAAATGAACAAATCCACAGAAATAGCACACGAATTCGAGTCATAAAAAATATCCTTTTCATTATTGTTGTTTCACTCGGGGTGAACAAGTTTGAGCCCCCAGCTCATGTCTTCACAGTGCTGGACATGCGGCACCAGCTTTCCCGTATCAGTGCCGTGCTTCGTCCCTGCAGTCATAGAAGGGCGGCCCGTGCATGCACGGCTCCATCGACTTGGCCCGCCGGCACGGCGGGTAAGGCGTGGTGTGGTTCTCGGGCCTGAACATGATCCACGGCGTGAGCCCGCCGAGGCCGTGGCCGACGTAGCCGAACGTCGACCAGCCGCTGGTGACGATCTTGTCGGTCATGCCTAGGAGGTACATCTCCGCCACCGCCTTCATGTCGTGCGTCGTGTAGCCGGAGAGCTGGTGCTCCTCGTGGCTCGGCTGGTACACGCTCACGACCTCGCCGGTGGCCGTCGCCGACTGCCAGTACTTCCACCGGATGTTCTCGTAGTACCACGAGCTCAGGCCGGTCATCAGGACAGCCTTCGACCGCGCACCGGCCGTCGACGGACGGGCGGTTCCTGCGTCACCACGTCGGGGAGCAGGTGTTCTTGCGACGTGCAGGCGAGGATCTGATCCAAGATGTGCTGGAAAGGGGTGTCCCCGTCGAACACCCTAACTGGATGCCTAGTCTTTCGTCTGAGTCCCTAGGTACGAACTGTGGAACCTCGTGATCAGTCCCCACACTTTGTTCGTCGGGTGGAACAGGTAGTGCGCCAGCAGGTAGAACACCGAGTCTTTCCGAGGGAACATCCTGTTGAGCTCGTCCTGGTGCACCGGGTTCAGGAACAGCGCCGGCACGAAGTAGCCGTCCGTCCTCATCACCAGCCACGGCGCGCGGCGGAGGAACTGCCGCTCGTCGTCGCAGAAGAAGAGCTTGTCGTGGTACGTGCAGGAATGGTCGAGGTCCACGAACACGTACGGGAGCCTGGACACCAGCGACGCCGCGCTATCGTTCTGCACCAGGTTTCTGTAGCTCTCCCGCACGTCGCCCGTCAGGTTCTGGAGGTTACTGATCGGGAAGTGCGACGGCAGCAGCCATGAGGTCCCCGGGAATGGCTCGCAGAAGATGTCGCCCAGCGACGTGTTCCCGTCGAGAAGCAGGACGCGGTCGGTGAGCACGGCGTAGAGGAACGCCGACGCCACGGCCAGGATCCTATTCCCGAGGCCCCTGTATGGCACCAGCACGAGGTACCTGCAGACGCCGTCGTCGGTGCCGTCGCGGCGCCAAGGCCTGAGCCGCGCGGCCGCGGCCCTGTACGCCTCGGTGCCCGGGCCGCACCGGCGCTGCAGCGCCTCATGCTGGCGCAGCCGCTTGATGAGGTGCACAGACGGCGACCGCGTCAGGTTCTTGCGGTAGAACGCGGACTGGTACCGGCTGAGGCACGACCGCTCGTCGAACCCCGGCACGAGCAGGCCGCCGAGGAGCTTCTCTGCATCGAATTCCGCACATGGGAAAGTAGATTAGATTTCCTTTCGATCGGAACCGTTCCAAAGCACGCGATTCAGAAGATCCAACACCACGTCACACGCCGGCAGAGGATCGAGATAGATCAAGAGTGCGTGGATTACTACGTTACCTTGCCGCGCGAATGTCGCCAACGGCCAAAAGGACGCGGGCGTCCACGGCGAGTCCCGCCGGCTAACCGTAGTCATCAGGACGGGCAACGCGACGAGGCAGATGGCGAGCGCTGTGACCTTCTTCCTCGCGATCCATGGCGTTGTGTTCTGCTCCACCGTACCCTCTTCTGCCTCGGCACGTCGGGCCGCGTTCTCCACGGCGTCCAGGCATTGCAGCGACGGCTGCTTGGTTATGCCAATGCCGACCATGCCCTCCAGGGCCATTGTTATCGGGCCTGGCGGGCGATGCATTCTTCTCGGGGTCCCGAGATCCCATTCTAAAATAAGACTTCCAAGAGACTAGGCATGGGCGCATGGGCAATGGCCTCTTTTATTTGGAAGGAACTAATAAAAAGAAATTGAATAAACAAAACAAAGCAAATGTGTCCCGCACATAGACTGATGGATTGATAGCGACATCATGTTTGCTACCGGTGGTAGTACGAAGGTCTCGTTTAAATTCAGCGACTAAAGTGTATCACGTCGAGTTGTCACATAAGAGCATTCGGAGAGTAATAATAAAATAAATTATAGAAGCCCTTAATATTTCGTGAGACGAATTTATTAAGCCTAATTAATTCATCAGCAGTACATGTTACTGTAGATTTACTACAGCACCACATTGTCAAATCATGGCCTAATTAGACTTAAAAAATTCATCTCGCAAATTAGTCGCTGTTGACGGTTGTTAGTGTCAATTATAAACCATTAATATACTCTACATATACGGTTGTTAGTGTCAATTATAAACCATTAATATACTCTACATATACACTTAATTCCATCACCAAATATAGGTATAGGGTTTTTAACTAATGAATTCCACAAGTTTTGGTGAATATTTGGATGCAGGAAGATTTATCTAGAAAACAGCTCCGGGATCACTATCATACACTCCAAATAGGCAAACCGACATCAACAAGTGATTCCACTCGCAAAACATGCAAAAGTCGATTCAAGACGGAGCCCAGGACCCACCACCCAAAGGGAGGCCCATCTGCCACAGTAGCAGGCCGGGCGGCCCAGTGGTGAGACCAGTCGGCCCATTACATAGGCCCCTCGCCCTCCGCCGCCTCAAACGCCTTCCTAAGATCTGGACCCTTAATTTTAAGGCAGTTATATGTCGGTTTATCCAACGGTGATCGAGAGAGTTGACGCGGATCGATGACGTGGCGATTCCTTGCCCCCTACTCCACCTCGATTCCTTGTCCCCTACTCCACCTCAGCCTATATAAGGACACCCAAACCCCTCCAGGAGACACACATCTACACACCCTACGCTCCAGAGCTTCATTATTTCATACCCTAATTGTAGTAGTGTCCCTCTAGATGATTCTCATCTAGTTGAATTGTAGAAAATAGGGAGAGAGGAAAGGAGAGAGATATGAGGAGAAGCCGAATCTATCGGATTCTTCTCGACTTTGCACCTCTACGAATCTGATTCATCTTTGAGTTACATCCATGTTCTTTTATTGGTACTTCTAAGTTATCTATTTAATTAAATTCAGTCCTTACTATATTTTATTTACGGAAACTCTACTTGCATTGAGTGCTCTAGTCTTGAGATCTGGATTAGAGTTGTAACCATTAGCGTAGACGTAGTGTCTAGGCTAGTGTTTACTCTGAGTTTGCGTCCAATCTCACGGTTAGTTGTGGTAGCCCCAGAGGTGACAGCTCTGTCAGGCCGTTGCAATCCACCACGTTCGGATTGTGTTTCGTAGAGCTTAGGCAGCCTCCCCGACTACCTTTTTCTCACCTCCTTCGAGAGTCGAAAAGGTACTGTTCCTCCAAAGTAAGTAAAGTATAGTAAGCTTGATTATTAGTTATCTGGTTTAAGCCTTGAAAATCCATCTCTACCCACAAAATCATTTTCTATCTTTATCTTTAGATGACCTTGATTCTTACTAGAGCACTTCACGTTCCTCGTGGAAATCGATACTTTGGAATACTTTTTGGTGAAAGCTACATCAGTATCTGTGCGCTTGCGGATTTTTCTGTGTGTGTTAACAAATATCAATAGTCGTTGTCTGTGCAATTAGTTATTTTTTAGTCTATATTTAATACTCCATGCATGTGTCCAAACATCTTATGGGATAGGGACTAAACTTTAGGGGAATGAACTAAACAAGGCCTAAGAGCATCTCCAGCAGCTCACTAATATTTCATCTCCAATAGGATGAGGTGATCACTAATACTGTACTATTTTTAGCCTATTGGAAAAGATAAACTAACATATTACCAATAATCTTCCTCATCATTACATAGATCCACATGTCATATTACAATTGATTATTATTTTTCTTTCGTTTTCTCCTTACGCGTCTTCTTCCGGCTAGTGTTCCTGCTCGCATAGAGGCCTCACACGCTGCACTTCTTCCTACCTGCGGACAGCCGTAGCACGCACCTTGGCGCTCGCCCCAGCAACCGCCACGTTGAGCCACGGCCCTGGCCCTACTGCGCCCCGCCCTGGCCAATGGCACGTCCAGGCTCGGCCACCGCGGTGCCCTGCTACGGCCCCGCCCCGAGCCATCGCCACGCCCACCACCGCGTCTGGCCACGGCCCCAGCCACTGCCGCACCCAACCCTAGATGCAGACCCGGCCGCGTCTAGCTGCTCGTCCATGGCACCCCAGAGCTCGACTCGACGGAGAAATCATTGGATGCAATGGTGGAGTGGGGAGGAGGATCCATCCACGCGAGCTCGCCGGAGATGCAAAATCCGCGTGGGTGTGGGAAGCAGCTGGGATGCGGGTGAGTTTTGGGGAGCTGCATCTCCCCCTCTATTTTGGGGAGTTATGGTGTATTTTTTGTGATCACCAATTAATGGGGATAGGATGAGGGAGCTGCTGGAGCAAGTTTTTTTTTGTCCCGACTCCCGCAATATGGTGGTTGGATTTGGTATAGGGGAGCTGCTGGAGATGCTACTAATCAGTGGGGTTATAAGTGCTGCAACCTACTCATTAAATGTGTGCTAATCTCTCGTCACGTCTATTTTGACGAGACGTGCTTTTCGTTTGTGCAGGATAACACGTCGACAACGCCTGCTGCTCCTCCGTGCCCACTGTGCATGCCTGACGTGCTCCTGATCCCATTCGGATCACGGCGGCCTTGACGTGGCATGTGGGCGACCGTCATCGACACACCAACGACAGAATCTCATCCACCTGAGATCCCGTCGCCCGTAGCTCCAGAAGCCGTGATGCCTATGGTCCTGCCAACATCACCACTCGCAGACCCAGGCACCACGACATCATCCGCACAAACGCACGAATAGGCGACGTCGTACTCTACACCTATGCCATCGCCGCCTGTGCCTCTAGCTCAGCCACAACACCATTCGATTATCACACGGGCGCAAGCAGGGATCCGCATGCTCAATCCCAAGTATGTGCACATCACAACGACATCAGCGCCCTTGCCATTGCCGACATCCATCTGTGCTGCTCTTCGCGACCTAGCGTAGCTGGCGGTGATGCAGGCTGAGTTTGACGCCCTGCAGAGCAATGGCAAATGGACACTTGTGCCCCGCCTAGCTCACGCCAATGTCATCACCGGGAAGTGGCTGTTCAAAAACAAGCTCAACCCTGATGGGACACTCGAACGGCGTAAAGCGCGGTGGGTTGTCCACGGGTTCTCTCAATGACCAGGCGTCGACTTCCATCAAACAATCTCGTTGGTGGTCAAGCCGGCGACAATACGCACGGTGCCGCATCTCGCTACTACTCACCAATGGCTGGTGAATCAGCTCGACGTCAAGAACATGTTCTTGCATGGCGATCTTGCCGAACGTGTGTACTATCATCAACCTGCAAGATTCGTCGACTCCTGCTGCCACGATCACGTATGCCTGCTCACATCAAATCTGTCTACGGCCTAAAAAAGGTGCTACATGCTTGGTTCCAGGGCCTTGGGAACCACCTTCGCAGCATGGGTTTCACCGCATCCGGCTCCGACAGCTCCGTGTTCATCTACCAGCGTGGCAAGGAGGCGACGTACCTGCTTGTGTACGTTGATGACATCATCCTTACTACCTCGACATCGTCTCTCCTGCGGCACATCATCAAAAAGCTATGCCACGCCTTTGCGATCAAGGATCTCGGTGCCCTCAACTTCTTCCTCGGCGTCCAAGTTTGTCACGATGCCAATGGATTCTTCCTCAACCAGGCCCAGTAGACTGAAGACATCCTGAAACGCGCCAGTATGGCGAATTGCAAGTAGGTGTCTACTCCGGTTGAGGCCAAGCCCTAAACCCAACGATGGCAAGCCCACGTCTATGAGCACGTTCTACCGCGGCATCACCGGCATCCTTTAGTACCTCACCCTCATGCTTCCGGACATCGCCATTGCTGTGAACCGGGCGTGCCTCCATATGCATGCTCCGCATGACGTGCATTGGAACCTTGTCAAGCGTATCAAATATCTCCATGCCTCCATCAACACGGCATCAAGATCTCGGCTGCTCCATCGACTGAGCTAAAGGTGTACTCCGACGCTGACTAGGCAGGCTGCCTGGACACTCGGCGATCAACATCGGGCTATTGTGTCTTGCTTGGTGACTCACTTGTGTGTTGTGTCATGGTCATCGAAATGGCAAACTACGGTATCCCGGTCTAGCGCCGAGGCCGAGTACAGAGCCGTGGCCATTGCCGCCGCGGAGTGCTACCACTACACCACAACCTTTAAACAACGACTAATTTAGAGTTGCTGGAAGGGGTGTACAACGATGGACAGTCAGTTGCTAAAGGTTATAGCGACAGACCCCTGCAGTTGCTAATGAAGCCATCATTATATGTATACAACGACGGACATCATCTTTAGCAACGGATGTTAGATGGTATTGTAGTGTTGTGGTGTAGTGTGCTTGCTCTAGAACCTACTTCGGGAGCTTCATGTCATCATCAACAAGGCCACGGTGATCTACTGCGATAATATTTCAGCGGTGTCATCTCTCTGAAAATCCGGTACATCATCGGCGAACGAAGCATATCGAACTTACATCCACTTCGTGCGAGAGAAGGTGGCCCTCGGTCATTTCAAGATGCTGCAAATACCAACAAGGCATCAATTTGCAGACATGCATGACCAAGGGACTACCGGCGCCAGTGTTCAACGAGTTCAGAGATAGTTTGTGCATTCGCTCACCCGATGCTTCAACTGGGGGGGAAGGAGGAGGGGTGTCAACGGCTGCATGTGACCGAGGGTTTCAGTTCGTTAGACACAGTCAAT